CACAGTACTTTTTCAAGAGTAAGGAGAGCATTTAAATCAGAATATAAAACTATCCTGTTATTTCAAAAGCCACACATTCATAACATCCATTTCATGAAAGTTCTGACCTCAACATCCATGTATTGTGTATGTGTTGCTTTCATTATCGCTTGAAAAACAAAGACATTTACGCTTAAGAGCGAGGAAGTACCACGTTTTACATATGTAAAAACTGTATTAAGACTGAGCTATTAATAGCAGCATTTCCAGAATCCATTTCAAGTCCTTTCTCTTACCATACACAAAATAGAAAAAGCCTTAAACCTAACTGGTAGCCTCTAGCTACTCTGTGCAGGAAGTTGTGTTGCTGATTTCAAAGAAGGGTAAAAAAACCCTTTAATACAAGGCCCCTCTGGAAAAGAAAGGAGGCTAGAAACGTAGATAAGGGACACAAGACTGAGTGAAGAGGAAAGACAACAACCAAAGCTGTTAATAGGTTCTCTACTCAAATGAGCAGCTCAAGCCATTCATAAAAATCATACCGTGAGACTGACAATTTTAAGACCAGTACCACAGAAGTACAGTGACCCTGCAATGACCCTTTGCCCTCCCTCATCTGCATTCTTCCCCACTGCAGCAGTGCAAGCACAAAAGAAGAGCATCAGGGCAGCATATTAATCCAATTGCTCATTCTCAACAAGGGCGAATTATTAACCCTAAACATATATACCAGTTCTAAAGAGGCAGCCAGTACTGTGACTTGGATCAGGAATGCTCTCTTCAGCAGCAATACTCTTAAGCAACTCTAAAACCACAGCTTCATCGAGATGGTGACAGAGAATCCAAGCAAAGGTGCAACATACAGTGTGTGTAATCACTTTTAAATACTTATTTTTCTATCAGAAGATATAATATGCTTACACAGTATCTCTAATTGCTAAAAAGCGTAACTGTTTTAAGAGAAACCAGCACAGCCCTACCTTCATTACCTCTACAAACTCTAATAGAGTGATGTGACCGCTATTCAGAGATGGAGGCAGCACAACAGCCTAGCAGTGCTTGCTCTGTTCCTTTGCTAGATCCAGACGCATTCTCTTACTGTAAAAGGACATACTTCCCATGCAACAAACTACTCTTTATGAAGAATTATCTTTCCACATGAACCTCTATACAGACTAGTGCAACTGTTGCCTACCAATATCCATAACAGTCTTTACATACCAATACCTTACACAATAGTCATGGAAAAGTAAGGAATGCCTATCCTGCATTAAGGATGCAGTTCTGTCCACTATGAGTATTACCATGTTGCCTCTATAAACACTTAAGTTTCTAAAAATCATTATTGGAACTAAAATTTGAAAAACTTAATATGAACTAAGTCAAATAGAGGCAAATCAATTGTTCTTTGGATATCAAGGAGCACTTTGAAAATGCATACTTGTTTTTTTTCTACAGTGAAAAGTTCTTTTACTAGTATCACATAAAATGTTCTTATGTTCAGAATATCAGCCATCCACTACCCATTACACTAGTTTAATAATATTTCTAATTTGAATTATGGGACTTTCATGAGCGATAGATTACTACACTCTAGGTAGCACAACACATAGGTTACAAGTTACAGTAGCATCAGTGGCAAAGGAAGGTAGGACCATGACGGAAAAATCCTTTGTAGACAGCAAGAAAACCAACATTAGAATAAAGTCATCAGGAAGAGCTGGCCTCTCAGAGCTACAAACCTTACTTGTCAGCCTCGACAAACCTAAAGCAATATTTCCCTTTACTGGGGGGGGGGGGGGGGGGAGCGGGAGGGGGGGGGGGGAAGTCTAGAGTGACTATCTCAAAACTTAGCAAGTTCTTAAAGGCTTGCTTTGAATTTTGGGGTTAACACCTCTGCTTCACTGTGCATTACCTGACCCAGTAGCAGTAGGACCAAGAAAAACATTACAGAAGACACAGCTGTGAAAATCCAATTACTAAAATTTATCCAAGTTACAAACATATCTTGTGTAGGCATGCAAGCAAGCTATCTAACATTTGCAGTACATTCTTCATTCAGACAGAGAGAACAATCACAGTGACAGCGTTTAGCAAAGCTAAGAAGGTATTGTTTTGCCACAAATCAGCAATGAGGAAATCTGAAAGGTTCACCACCCTACTAAAAAGTCTCACCTGCATGACCTCCAAATGCTCCTCTTCCTCTAGAGCCAAGAAAAATGCCAGACTGAGGTCTGCCTCTTTGCTCATCTTTAGTATCTGTAAGTAATACACAGCGTAGTGGATGTAGTATCTAAAATTAGTATAATGAAATACTATGCTTAAAGCTAATACTATTCACTCCAAAAACTCTACAGTGCAACTGCCCCAACAGATTCTTTTTAACTCCGACCTATGCTGTATTGTTCCCAGTGATACGATTTTTCAAAGATGCCATCCATGTTCCACAACACGGCTGAAGAACAGAAGCTATTTCATAGCTTTCACTTTTATACTTGTAGTTCTCAGGGAGCAAGCAAACCCAGAAAGAATGACCAAATGTATGTTGCTCCCACACAAACCAGTCAACATAAAAACTTACTCTCGCTTTGTCCAAATCCACCAGGAAATCCTCTAAAACCTCTATTTTGTGTATTAGAATCTTCTACAACATTCCTTTCTTGAAAACCTGCAGTACAGCATAGCACACAACAACTTAGTTTGCCCAGTTTTGCATGTGCAGATCAAGTGCCTTCTGTTTGGCAATTATTCTTTGCAGTCCTTGTTTTATAAATTCAGATAAAAAGTACAATAAAACTAAGTAATTTGCCTAAATATAAAAAAAAAAAGAAGAAATATTTTTTGCCAAAAAGTACGATGAGAAGAAGAGTCTACTGCTCTGTTGTAGTATTGCTTTCTGCAAGAAGTAAATCAAACATTAAGTCTTGAAGTATTTGACTTTACACACATATATGCTATATAAGCTACTAACTTTCAACTCTTCGGTTATGATGCAGATCAGCTCAGTCCTCCGGATCAGTCACAGGACAACTGACAGCATTTGTACCTTCTCAGTCTTCATAACCAGTACCGTAGCGTGAGGTAGTATTGCAATTGTTGCCTCCTATGGAGCGAGGCTTTGCAAACCTGCCTTTCAGATCTATCAATTCCTATTTTTTTTATCACTCAGAATTGCTTACTCAGTTGCTTGGGAGAGGTAGTGCCAAGAATTTAGTGTGTTTTTATTTCTAACCCCTTTCCCTAGTCACCCTCCTGATGGAGCCAGAAAGGAAGTAAACAGCCACATGCATAAACAAGGTATTTCTCATTTTAGACTGGACAGTTTTAGGTGTTGTCCAAAATCCAAGCAGTCAACTTATATAGTCATTTACTCCTTAGTCTTTATTCTTCAACTGAACACCTGTTCTATCATCTTGCAATGACAAAGGGCATCTTCTGCTAAATGAGACCAAGAAGTTCTCCTACCACAGCATCTGTAGCTCCTTCTCCATCAATGCTTGGTGCATACTAATTTATAGGTCATTTGAGTTTTTCCAAATTAAAAAAAAAACCCACATCTTAAAGGCCCACATGCAAAAGACAGTCTAGATATAAACATCCATAAATACTACAGACTTTAAATTATTTCACAATTGCTGGAGAGAGTACAGCAGAACTGATCGTCATCATTCTGCAGCACCACCAAAGTGTTGCTGCCTGCTAAGTCAAAGAAGTCTAGCATTCCCCTACCATAATGGGCATCAATCCAAGAGATGCAGAAATGGTGTAGAATTTTTTAAAAGAATAAACATAACAACTGTAAGTAGCTCCACCGCTGTTCTGCAGGTCAGAACTTTTGCTAAACATGCCCAAACCAGCACTAGAGTTTCCACCTTCCTTGTTTCATAACCAGTCCCACTTACAGCCATAGAACTATCCAGACCGATGCTACATGATAGTAGCTTCCACTGCCCTATACGCTTCCGATAGTACCTGGTGGAAGCATATGCGTCAGTACTGCCAATTACTAACCTTCTTCAATGTGCACTGCATACAAGAGTGGCACTTGTAATTATAAGCAAGAAGAGGACAGGGATTAAATATTGCTTTATGGATACTAAAGAAAGAAAGCTTTCAGGTCTTCCACAGAAGACCACTGGTATACTCCTTCACATGGCATATATGTGAATAATATTCAGCTGCCTTTTATACTACATTATGACTCAACAAAATTATCAGAAAAATACCCTTCTCCAGGGAGAATGGAATCAAAGCAAGAGGTAAACAAAACATTGATTTTAAATGTAGAGTCCTGCCCTCTGGCAAATACGCTGGGGTATTTTATGTTGTGCAGTCGAAACTAAGGGGTAATACTGAGTGCCTACATTATGCAGAAATAAGGATTAGTATTACCCTCCAAGTCATAAATACTCATTTGGCTCTGATACAACAAAACTGAGTACCTGAATAGGGAAAATTTAATGTATCAAATAAGACTAGCCACTAGAATTACACGCACTCCAGAAAGTTACCTCTGTTTGCAAAATTCCTTCCGCTACCAAATCTACTCGCTGGTTGACACTGTCTGTTCAGACATTCATCAGTATCTATAATTAGAAAATATAATCGACTTAGCATTCAAAGCTACCTTGAACTTCAGGGAAGGCTTTTGGTTTTGGGTGGGTTTGGTGTTTTGGGGTTTTTGTTGTTGTTGTTTCAGTTTGTTATTTTTATACTCAACAATAAAATTACAGAATCATTCAAGCTGAAAGGGACCTCAGGTCTATAGCCCACCTCCCACTCAACAAAAAAACACATGATGAAGATGTCCTTTTATAAGACAAAGAAAATGAATTAAAATTATAAAGCTTAGGACAGGTGTAACTACTGTTTTCTACAAGGAATAGCACCACTCAGCAACAGTACTGCTACCAACACAGTAAAATTTGAGTTTCCAGAATCTACTAGAACACCAGTTGCAAAGTCCTCCATTCTAAATGTTCTCCAGAAGGAAGGCTTAATCACCCCCAAAACTACAAATTTTAACCATGCAATCCTACCTCTACTCCTAGAATACCCTCCAAAATGATCCTGCATATGCTGAATTCTGTTAGATCTTTCAACAGCACCTAGAAAAGGAAAACAACAAGAAAGTAAGGCTTTTGACACTGTCTCCCATAACATCCTCATATACAAACCAATGAAGTACAGCCTACATAACTGGACAGTGAGGAGGACTGAAAGTAGGCTGAACCACTGGGCTCCAAGAGTTGTGATCAGCAGCACAAACTCCAGCTGGAGGCCAATCACTAGCAGAGCACCCCACTGACTGATACTAGGGCCAACACAGTTTATCATCTTCATTCATGACCCCGATGACGGGACAGAATGCACCCTCAGCCAGTTTGCAGACATACAAAACCGGGACGTAACACAGAGCTGTGTTTCACTCAGAGGAAACTCAAAACATGCTAGAGACATGGGCAGGCAAGAACCTCAAAGTTCAATAAAGAAAAATGCAAAATCCTACACCTGGGGAGGAATAACTCCAGGCACCAGTACACACTGGGGCCAACCATCTGGAAAGCATCTTTGCAGAGAAAAACCTGAGGGCTGTGGTGGATAGCAAACTGAACATAAGCCAGCAGTGTGCCCTTGCAGTAAAGGCCAACAGCCTTCCGGGGTACATTAGGAAGAATGTTGCCAGCAGCTGGGGGCAGGTCGTCCTTCCCCGCTGATGATGCCATATCTGGAGTGCTGCGTCCAGTTCTAGGCTGTCCAGTACAAAACAGACACTGACATACTGGAATGAGTCCAGCAAAGGACCACAAAGATAATGAAAAGACTGGTGCATCTGCATACACAGAGTGGCTGACAGCTAGAACATCTGTGCCTGGAGACAAGGCGGCTCAAAGGATCTTACATCTTAACAGAAGTGAGCAGAGACAGAGTCAGATTCTTTTCACTGATATGCAGCAAGGGGACAAGAGGCAATGGGCACAAACTGAAATACAGGAAAATCCATTTTAACATAAGGAAAATCTTTATACTCTGAGGGTGGTTAAACACTAGGCAAATTGCCTAAAGAGCTTGTATAGTCTCCATCCCTGGAGAAATTCAAAATTCAGCTGGACAATGTCCAGAGCCACCTGCTATAGGTGACCCTACTCTACACAAGGATTTGGACCAGCCAATCTTCAGAGTTGCCTTCCAACCTGAGTGATTCTATAAAAATGAAATTCCCTATTCTGCAATATCAGAGTCAAGATCAAGGTACATCAGCAACCATCATACAGATATGAAATCTGAAATCAAAACATGAAGTCTACAAAATTCCATGTTGCGCAAGTATATGGCATATCACAGAAACTGATTTTTACCGTCTCCCTTTCAAGTTAAAACTGCTTAACATAATGATATAGCTACCCCTGAAAAAAACTAGACACTAGTACATTCCACAAGACAACAAACGCACTAGTTAAAGAAGAGATCACCTGTATACAAGAGCTTGTCATACAGAAAAAAAGAAGACAGATGACATTTGGTACATTATCAAGTCACTCAATCAGGAAACTTTGCTCGTACAACACTAAACAAAGTGTTAAACTGCTGCTTTCATAATCTGAACAATGTTCAGAGTTCCTGCTCACTTGGAAGATTTAAGTGAGTAGTTTGTGGCAAAGCCAGTAAAAAAGATTCCAATATTCATGTTTATATGTAACATGTAACAAGCAGCAAATAAAAACACCTTACCAATTATTAAATTAACACTTCTATTGTTTACCACAATAGATTGGCTTCTATTGACCAAGTCTATTTGCCTTTAAAGGCGTGAGGACTCTCTTCCCTTTACTTGCCATCCTAACCCATTCTTATTCCATCACTCCTTTTCCACTGAGATTTCCACACCTTAAGCACATTAAGTTAATTCCATATTCAAAGCTTTTGGAAAGCACATCATATGCCAACAAAATACTTGATCAGTAAAGCATCTGCTTTATTAAGTTCCTTAACCATGCTGCCCTCTGTGTTTATTGCCTCTACTAATGAAAGGTGCTGGACAAAAACACAGATTTACAGACAGTGAACAGGACAGAACCAATAATCATTCTTTAGTCAGGTCTGCTATGCTTAGCCCTTACACCAGCTGAACTGTAGGCTGCACTGCTGTAGGCTGCACTGTTACTTGCTAACCAACCTATTAAGATTGGTAAAAGTATAGCAACTTTCACAATTATCATTTGCCTACTATGCAAATTATTCATGCGACTCATGTCTATATAGGTTTGCAAGCTAACTGGTCTTATAGGAAGTCTAGAAGTACCAAATGCTAGTGTTTAATTCATCACTGTATCATTTACCACTCTAAATGTATTAATTTTCAAGCAGTATTTGATAGATTAAGAGGACTAGAATGAATTCTTGTTTCCAATTCACTGGAATTAAAATCTAGCGTTGCATCAGTGTATCTCTGAACAACAGCTGTTAGATCTGTTGATTTCCTCATCATATGCGTTCACTTACATTTTTCTACTGTACACGGGGATTTAAAATCCTGATTTTAATCCATTCCAGAGACATGCACCCCCAAATCCTGTACATACTAAATAAATGTCATTTTGGCAAGACTTTTAATTCTGTTTTTTGTCTGGGATTTTCTGTGGGTGGTTTGCTTGGTTGGTTGGTTGGGTTTTTTAAGTACCAAAGGAGTATGAAACAGGAAAGAAGAAAGTTCCTTCAGTATTGAAAATTCTGAACAGTCAGCTTGTAAAGAAAGTTTTGCTTTCATGAAGAAGCAATACAAAGAACAAATTCACTTGTTTAAGTCAAAGTAAAGCTTTATAAAATACTAATTTGCTAGTACGCAATATTGCTTTTAGTTTATCCTCATTACAAGGATTTACACAAGAGTACTACTACTATAGATTGTTTCAAGGAAAAAAATCAAAATTAAAGTTTAACCTGCATACACTAACTCTATTCATGCAATTTAGTGTCAAACAAGCAAACTATATCACTAACAATAGTTATGAACTATACAGAGCCTAGAAGTGCATTGCATACAACAGAGCAGCTCATGAGAGCTTTATCTAAAACTCAGCTGAAGCACAATCTGTTCATAAATTAGAAGTTTTGCAAGGGAAAAAAAGAAAAAAGGCCCATGCAGCCTTTTCTAAAAAAATTTTTTAAAAAGGACACGTTTTTCCATCATGTTGCAGGGAAAGAATCCCTAATCTGATGCACCCTTTTAAACAAGGTCAAGACAAGATGCATAATGTTATCAACCAAGAGCCTCGCCTCTGGACTTCCCGAACAGCTTTAGTTCTTTAAGTCTTTATTTAAACAGCAAATAAATTTTGCTTGTATCTAGCATAATTAAGCAATCTCAGTATTATTACTTACGCTTGAAAACATTGGTAGAGTTCCCTATCAACTAAGAACCTGAAAGATTGTGTCAAGCCAGAACAGACACTTTGAAATTGCTTACACTGATCTAAAATGGCACAGTATGTCTAGCTCAGGAAAGGAATAAATGGTTAATGATGACAGTGAAAGCAAGTCCTTCAACAGGAAAAGCCCTCCCTGACATCAGTTCAAGAGGCACAAATCAGAGAATACTTACGTTATTTTTGCAATATGTAATGGAAAAGTTATCAGGCAGAGCTGACAGCTAGTCAGAAAGAAAGAGTTGGAACAAACAAAACATGAAGCTCCCAAGACTCACTTCCACCTAACCTGCAATTCAAGTTCTCTTCACAAGCACTGCCTTTCCTATTTGTTCTGTGTGAAACCATTACTGAAGTTAGCAACCTGGAGACCTCATAAAACATTTCTGCTGTTCTAGGATGAATGCAAAGCCTGTCATCCAAATTTTCTATTTCCTGTAACTGTCCAAATTCAGAGGAATTCAAGTAGCACAAGTGGTTATCTTGTTCCTACCCTTCCTAATTTTCCAACATCCTGGGGACAAGGAATTGGGAGAACATAAGTCTGCCTTTCAGCTATACACTAAAAGGCAGGGGAGAGATACATCAGTAATAAACATACTGCCATGTTCTAACTACTCATAAACACATGAGCAGTTATAAATATATGGAGAACCTGCCGCATGAAGAAAGACTGTGGCAGTTAGGTCTTTTCTCCCTGAGGAAAAGGAGGCTCAGGGAGGACCTCACAGTATTCCAGTACTTGAGGGGCAGCTACAAAGACGGCAGGGGCTCTCTCTTCATGAAGAGCCACGCGGAGAAGACAAAGGGCAACAGGCACAAGGTGCACTGGGCAAGGTTTCATCTTGATAGAAGAAAGAATTTTTTACTGTGAGAACAATCATTCACTGGAACAACCTCCCCAGGGACATGGCAGAGTCCCCATCACTGGAGATTTTCAAGATGGGATTGGACAGGGTGCTAGATAATCTCATCTAGGCTTCCTTTACCATGAAAGGTTAGACCAGATGATCTTTCGAGGTCCCTTCCAACCAGGGCTGTTCTATGATTCTACAATATCAACGTAATTTGTGCTAACCACAATTTGTTAAAATAAAGTTTAGGTTGTTCCTCCACAGCTGGATCAACTAAATGATATAAGCTCAAAATTTTTACCTCAGACTGAATTTCACTGAAGTTAAAATATCCTCAAGCAGTCTTAAAGACCATTCCTAAGTTCAGAAACTACAGTGAGAACACCCCGATTGCCTTATCCCACAGCCTGTTAGCTCTAAGCAAAACCTGTTTCCTGATGTGGCTATTATATAATGAGTCACACAAAGTAAAGCCTGGGGCAAACTACCTCCAGCAGCAACCCTGGCTTGGCATATTTAAAACTTCTATATCTAAACTTCTTCTAACTTCCGTATCTAAAACTTCTGTTCAAGTTTATAAAGGCATCATCTTCACGAAGCCAAGAGTGCTTTACAGAAACTTGATACCAAACATCAATGTTTTGCCTTGTGGTTTTTGCTGGTTTTTCTAAATGGATCCAAGTTTCTGTTCAACAACCTCACCTGACGTTTTCTTATTTTCAACACAACTGTCAGACAGGACCTCACTAGAACTGCTCAACATGGCATATGAACAGTATTGAAAATAAATGTTATGTTTAGCACAGCCTGTTTTAGAAATGCTTGTGACAAATTTAGAAATGAGGTAACACCTCACAAGGTAACCTCGACTCTCATTAGAAGTTATATTCTGTATTCAACATGTAACTGCAGTAAATTGCTTGTGAGGTAACACCTATCGACTCTCATTAGAAGTTATATTCTGTATTCAACATGTAACTGCAGTAAATAAAGAAGGGTTGAGTATCAAAAGGAAAGTCTATTTGTTATGTTACCTGTATAATTTGATGTTGTTTACTCCATGGCGGACGCATGAAAATATCACAATGATAATACTGTGGTTTTCTTTAATCTCCTAAGCTGTTCAAGGGATCAACTCCCCCAAACATCAGCAAAATCAAAAGTGCCTTTCACATACCGAATGAGCCTACACTTGGACTGAAGTCAGATGAGGGGCCATTTGGTCTTTCAGAGAAGCTAGCCTACAAAAAGAAAAAAGGCACATCATGTTAACCCCAGGCCACGCAAAGTACATAAATACAAATGCAGTTGCTATGTCTTGCACTTGAAAGAAGTTGCCTTCTGCACCTTCAGAAATGCAGTCTCTCAGACTCTTCTGTTCACTTCAGTTTAATACACTTCAGTATGGCATACTGTTTGCATCTGAATGTCACCAAAAGCACATTATACACAGTTGACATGTGGAGTTAAGTAAGTTTATCTTGCCTTCTGTCGCTGATTTGTGTGGGCATCAGCTTTGTCACCTTGCCAACAAACATTTTAAGCCTTGAATATAAGAAACATTTATTGTTCAAAACAATACTATAATCATTTGAAGTATTTTTCTTTTCCAATCTTTCAGACTGTTTGTATTGTGACTAAAAATCTGTTTTCATCACTTTCATAACTCACTTTCTAGGGTTTTACTAGACGATGCTTACAGATTATCTTAAAAGGAAGTAACTGAAATATTGTCAGTCCCTGTTCATTTATTCAAAGATTCAGATATTCCATTTGAACAATTCAGAACAGCAGCTAATTTTCACATTTTACTCTTATGGTCAGTTTTACTTCCAGCAAAGGCCATGTTTAACTTTCTCCTGTTTAATGCAAGCCAGGCACATACTAGTAAGCCAAAACAACAGCTGACTGAGGAACATCACATAACTACCACACTTTTTACTTCAAGATTGTGCTTTTTAGACATTACTACAGCTTTCACACTTCTCAATGTGGCTAGCAACAACTACAGGAAATTAAACCCAAACTGGTAAAATTACTATTCTGAAAAGTGTATGCTGTAATTTCTTCTTTTGGCAACCTTACTTTTAGCCTCGTACATCCATCTGGATAAGCCATTCGCCTTTCCTCTTCCTCCCTGTTCCTCAAGGCTGAATTTAAATGCCCATTAGGACCAATGCCAACAATCAAAGATTCATTACAGATTCTCCTCAAATTTACTGCCGTTTCTTCTAATACCAATGTTCTGATAACAACATCAGAATCAGCAAAACATTATTCTTTAGCTGTCTCTCATTACATTCCCGTATCTTATCCTTCATTTCACACCAAAGCATTTTGCTGCTATGCAAAAAAATAGCAAAATTGAATAGGAATTTCTACACAAGATTTAGCTCAGAACTAGGCCTGACACTAGGTACCTGACATCACCCTAGTTCTGCTATGAAGTCCAGAACTGCATTTTAAGAATTGTTCTGCCTGCTGCCAAACTCTTGAGACCATTAAACTGCACATAGTTTAACAACTTAAATGTACTACTTCCTGACCTAATTGTAGCTTTTCTACTGCCAGGAATTTAACTCAAGAGTAACTGCTACGATCACCCTCTTCCAGTTTCAGTTTAAGTGAGCTGGGTTTGCAAACACTGTAGTAGCCCAACTCATTTGGGGGGGAGGGGGGGAAGCAGAGTGGAGACAACTTACAGAAGCAACTTGAACAGAAGATCTGAGAGGAAGCAACAGCTCCACCTATTTCTGGATATATGATAGCTTCCTGAGAGCTGGGGAAGCAAGTGTGGAAACTATCCAGATCTGTAAACACAGATGCTATATAATCCCAGTCAGGATCCATGAGTCTCCTTGCTTTTCTTCCCTAAAAAGCTGGGTATTAAAAACGCTTTCAAAATACACAGCCAAAGGACTGAATACCTTTATGGAACAGTGACCATGTTAACTTATTTTAGAAGACAACCATCATGATGAGACCCACTTACACATTCAGAGCTACAGATACAATGAAGTCGACTTGGTTTCTATACACAATTAAGCCTGCTTGAAAAGTCAGATTTCCGTTTTCTAAGACTACAGTTTTCCAAGCAAATGAGACCATGTAACAACTCACTGCTATCAAGAAAAGATGAGGTTTATTTATTTTCTCTTTATCAGCTTTGGTGGTCAAGGCCATCTAAGCCATTTTTCCATCAGGTTAGAAAATTAAGAGAGCTCACAAAAGTATACAATGAGCACTGGTACCTGAACAAAACAGCAGCAAGCAAACTGCTCATGGGGAGGAAATCTCATCTCTTCAGTAACAGTTAACAGTGAACTCCTACAGCAGCCTACCATGTTTGCAAAAACATACTGTAAATTATATTCAAAGTCCTATCTACAGCCCTTAAACAGGTGCGCTCCTCACCCTTCCTACGCATTTAAGACCATAAAGTTTGGGAACAACATGAAGTGCAATATTAACTGAACAATGAAAATCAGCTGAGAGAATCACCTATGTTCTATTTGTTGCTGTGGTAAGAAGAAACAGCAATTCAGTGACTGCCAGCAGAAAGAGACAGCAAATAGAATAGCTAAAAGGATATCAATGGTGCAGAGAGAGAAGTTACAACTCACATTTAACCCACAGCCATGAACTACCACCAAAAGACATGGTTCTGCTAATCCCCAATAATGCAGTTCCACCACTGCCCTTTTACTATTCAATAGACCATCAAACCAGTCTGATTTGTGCAAGAAATTGCAGCCTACTAACACCCAAAAAACAGTGATCTGTTCTCAGTTTATCTTACAACTTCAGAAACACTGGATCTAACATACGTAAGGGAACAGGAGTGCATTATAAGGGAAAAAGGGCAGGCAACAGGAACCACCCCTTTCAGAAGTTAAAAAACTTTACTTGAATACCCCTTACCACCATTTAGCTGCAATTATAAGTTTCTACCCTACCTAAGTTCTTGCTTGTTCCCTTGCAGCCTCTGCTGGTCTGCTAGCCTATCCACATAGGTACTCAATTCCCAGCCCATGTATCATAATTAGTTACTAGTATGTGTTGCTTTTATGCCACTAGTATATGTCACTTTAAGTACACATCCTCTCAAAAGCCAATGTAAGAAGGCAGCATGAAGCAGCTGAAGAGTAATACTAATTGGCTACACTGACCATGCCCCAGGAGCCTCCAGGGAGGCAAGGCACCTCAACATTTTGAGAGACTGAAACTGCTACTATTGTTTAAGAAAACACTGCCTTTTCTACATGCAAGTTAAGGGCAAGTTCCTCCAGGTGCTTCAGGAATCACAGGAACAGGGGACCACAGCCTGCCAGCCACCTAGACCGCAGGGCCAGGGGTGGGAGGAAGGGAAAAAGAAGCAAACATGCTACAGCCCAACAATTGCCACCTCATACCTGCTCAAGAAGTGGGAGGATTGGCGATGCCTCGTCCCCCATCTCTGCATTCCAGTCCTCGTGGTTCATGCTGTGCCCTTTCAGATCTGCTTGCAGGAGACGAAACACATTAGCAGCAACACCCTGCCTGCCTCCAGCGTGTCCCACAGCACCCATGCAGGGGACACTATTGAGTGCTGTCCCAGCACTCACTGTCCTCATTGCAACCCCCACTGCGTCGGCGGGGGGTGGGTGGGAGGGGTGTCCTCTCGGGGGAGAGCCTCCCACTTCCATGAGAAAGGCGCCCACCCCTGCTCTTACCTCCTTTCCGCGGCCACCGAAGCTCTGCATTGAAATGAAATGGCGCCTCTCACCGAGGCTTCTAATAACGGCACCACCACGTGCAGTTGCTGGCCCGTCACGTGCCTCGCCCGCCAGCCAATAAGAGCGCGGCTCGCCAGCAGAGCGCGTGTGCTGGTGCCTGTAGCCAGGGGTGAGGCATTATGCGCCGAGCCGTTAGGCGGTTGGGGCTGTTAAGGCTGGGGGAGGGCAGCGAGTGAGGGTGGCGCGGGAGCGGTGTTGGCGCGCCTGACTGGAGCTTGTGGGGCAGGGGTCTGCTGGGGCCTTTATCTGGTCTGCGGTGATTTGCCCCGTGGGTAGGAAAGGGCGGGAGGTGGTGCATGTTTTATCTCGCTATGGCGTGTACTGCTCTGTGGAGCAGTGGTGGCGGCGGGGTAGTCACGGTGCATGTGGAAGGAAAGGAGAGCTCAGGAAAATGGAGGTTCACAGTATCTGGGCACTTCTGTCCTTTGCTGATGATCCTGCTCGGCTCCCTGAGCATCTGAATAATCCTTACTTTCTTCATGTATGACTGTTAAAGTGTGGTTTATTTTACAAATACCTACTTCTAATAAAAGTGAAAACCACTGTTTGGCAGAACTGCAACTAAGATATTAATCATTTTACTGCAAACAACATTTTCAAGCATTAGCGTAACAGCTAACAGAACATACCCCTTTGCTAGAATTAAAAAAAAAAAATTGTTTAATTAGGTTAAACAGGCAATTTGTTAAAAAAAAAAAACACCAAAAAACCCCACCATACTTAAGAACAACATCCCCTTCCCACAGTTTTTTGTAAAACCAGACTTGGTAGAGAAAACAAAAGAGGGCTAAATTCCTGGCTTAGGAGTTTTATTTATGTTGAAGTGTGGAAGAATGTAGATAGGACTTGTATCAGTTCAATGCATCTATTAAAAATTGAGGCAAGTGCTCTGACACTTTCGCTTGTGTTTCTGAGCTGCTGGCGCAGTGTATGTCTTCTCTGTACCTCTTTTTGTGCTGTGGAATAATACAGCAATACTTATTCTGAACATCGTAAAGGAAGTTTATATCATTCCATAAATGTGATGAATACTTGTTAACCTGCTCCACCATGTTCAACAGATTTTCCTTGTCAGAAAAACTATTTGAAAAACTGTGTGCCTGTTTGAGAACTTTAAAGTCTTCTGTTGCAGAGAAGCTACATCAGCTCTGCAATTTTGCAGTGAACATCTGAATGTCTAGTAGGGGCTTTGGGCAACAGTAAGGCAAATTCCTGCAGCAGATGGAGGTTATTGGAGAGGCTTATTTTTCAGGAACATCAGGACAGGACACTGCGCCACTAGATGATATATATGAGGCTGTGCTCAGTGCAGGTAGCAAAGGTAACTGCTTGGAGTTACTAGCTTTCAGTAAGTGATCAGTCAAGATATACAATGTCCAAGGGTGAAGAACTCACAGTGGGAACGTCTCTGTGGGAAGTGTATAAAGCCATTTACAAGTTCCTGAAGCAGCATCTGGAACTAGCAGGGAGGCTTGCAAGCTAAATTTTACCCACTGTGCTAACTCCATAGCACACCATTTTACTTTTTGCCTAAACAAGAAAACAGAGTAGGCTCCTTCATCAGCTAAAACAGCTTCTGTTTTAATTGCACTGAAGGTCAATTTTGGACGTCCATAAAGAAAAAGAGCAGTATGTCTGTTTTGATAAATTTATGGTTAATGGCAGATGGTACATCTAAGCCAAACTGAGAGCTTTCAAATAGTTTATCCTCCTTTCCATCAGCAGGTTACCATTCCCTCAGCTTTGCCAGCATAACTTCATGTTCAGCACTCCCTAACTCACTCAAGGAGATACAGTTTAGGTTAATTTAAATGGTAGACATAGGGAGCAACTATGAATGCAGTCATGGTGGCAGATCTGTAATCACTGGTGGGTGATCTCTTAATTAATTTTAGGTACAATCAGATGTCACAGCCTCTAACTAGTAGATGGACTCGGAGAGTTCTTATTTTCTTCCTCTATTATTCTGATTCTGCTCATTGTAGGAGACTATCTGCTGCCTCCAAATTACTTCCCACTACTTCAGGAGAAGCCAAACTATGAAATTTTGTGAATGCCAGAAATTACATGGTAAATGTAACTAATTTGTTCAACTCAGAATATTCTTCAGGGAGCTACAACTTTTTTTTTATTACTATTTTTCCTAAGGATGCTAACATTTCGATGTAAACCATGATGGCAGGGCACAAGTTGCACAAGACATTTGCTGACTACCCTGGAGGTCATTTTGTCCAACCAGCCCCACTCAAGTAGAGTCACCTAGAGCCAAAAGAGAACAAAGTAGTATCCAACATATATAAATGGTATCTTACACAGTACATTCAAATGTAACATGGAGCAGCAGATCACCACAAAAACATATAAAAGTATATTACAAAAACTTATAAAAATAACCCCAATTGTGAGTGTAACCCCCTAGACTGAGGAAGAAGAAACCAGCAACGTAAACATATTCCTCCCAGAGAAGGACTCCAGATGCTGACAACTTGCTGAAATGTCCCCTCCTCTCACCACTGCTCAAGAATGAAACCACCAACCTAAGGACCCGGAGTAGCAGTAGAAGGGTGAGCATAACACCAGGAAAAGGGGTAGAAAGTAAGCGCGTGCATAAAAAATTTTCTTCTTTCTTTTTGTGTAACCAATTAGAGCGGACTAATAATGATTAGACTCCTAGGATTTCAGTTACACTGACAACAAATTCTTGGCTTTACTTATATATAAGGTGTTTCTCTTTGCCCACAAACAAGATTTTTTGTTGAACACAGTTTCTACATCTTAAGTAAGCGCGTGCATAAAAAATTTTCTTCTTTCTTTTTGTGTAACAATTAGAGCTGGACTAATAATGATTAGACTCCTAGGATTTCAGTTACACTGACAACAAATTCTTGGCTTTACTTATATATAAGGTGTGCTTTCTCTTTGCCCACAAACAAGATTTTTTGTGTAACACAGTTTCTACATCTTAAATGCTATCCTGATGTATTATCAGTATTTTTCAGAAAGAAATCTGGAGTAATCTCTAGCAAAATGCAAAACTCACTAAGTTTGTTAGCCATGTGACCACGCCTCTGTTTGCAATTATGGGAAACATTATTTGTTCATCCACTATAATGTTCTATAATGCCTCAATTTTATGAATTTGTGCATATTACAATTATCTTATAGCTGCAAGTACAGAGCAAAGTATGCCTTAAGGCTAAATCAAAAGAAGATTCAACATAGTGTGAGATGGCAATTTTTTTAAGAGCTGGATTTAATACCTTCTTTGTCTTACAGATGTACCAAGAGGTCCTAAATAAATTTAGGCTCCCATTTTTCTATACACTGCCCAGGCACGTAGGAAGAGACACTCTTTGCCCAGAAGGTAATGTGTCATCAGAATAGAAAGCCACAACACAAACTGCAGGACAGCAAATGAATACCCTTTTGTAAAGTCAGCTGTTGGCAGCAGTTTTAATGAGGGAGCAGGAGGAATCTCTACAATTCTGTTTGGCTCGCAGTTCTTACAATAAAACATTTTTCCTAAGCATAACTTTTTCGAGGACTGTAGTTGGTGACCAAGAATGCAATGAAATACACATCATCTATCTGCTATAGCAGTAACTATATGTCTTTCATAGCATAGGACACAGAGGACAGGCTTGCAAGAGTAAAACTAGCTGCTTGCATGCTGAAAAAAATAAGTTCTTCATGTATCTCCACTTTTGCGGGTTTTAGTTTAATTCACTTTCATAGCACCAGCATGCGATGTTAGCATTGCATTTCAAATTCATGTGGTAGCAGGTGGACAGACTTCATCGACCAAAATCTTCAAATGTCTGTGGTAGGTGCACCCTGGCTGGTGCCAGGTGCCCACCAACCTGCTCTATCACTCCCCTCCTCAGCTGGACAGGGGAGAGAAAATATAACGAAAGGCTTGTGGGTCGAGATAAGGACAGGGAGATCACTCAGGAATTACCGTCACGGGCAAAACAGACTCATCTCGCGGAAATTAGTTTATTTTATTACCAATGAAATCAGAGTAGGGTAATGAGAAATAAAAACTAAATCTTAAAACACCTTCCCCCCACTCCTCCCTTCTTCCCAGGCTTAACTTCACTCCCGAATTCTCTCCCTCCTCCCCCCAGCGGTGCAGGGGGACGGGGAATGGGGGGTTGCGGTCAGTTCATCACATGTTGTCTCTGCCGCTCCTTCCTCCTCAGGGGGAGGACTCCTCACACTCTTCCCCTGCTCCAGCGTGGGGTCCCTCCCACGGGAGACAGTC